ATCTATTCATCCATCCATCTACAAACATATAAGTATACACAAATACATGAAAAATATATGTATATATTATAAAATGTATAATGTGTAATATAAAATGTATATAAAATTTAGACACATATACGCATGTGTATATTCTATATGTATACATAAACACACACTATATGGAGGCAATACAGTCTTTACCCTCTATCTTTTGTCAAAAAATTAAATGATTCTTATAGTGATTTTACTAGCGATATACTAGATTCTTCTAGTGATTAAAAACAACTAGACATAAAAAAACAAAACAAATAAAAAGGATCAAACCAGGAAACACTTTAGTCTTTGAGGGTCTTGAAATTTATTTAAAAGGCCAACACAATAATGAGAAAGCCCTGAGGCGATGAAGAGAATGGATAAGCAGACCCTGACTGGGGGAATCTGACATAGCTTTTAAGTGCAGGAAACATATGAGCTGGGTTTTGAGTAAGAGCTTGTCAGGGAAAAATGGTAAGAGAGTGATGAGCAGTTTTAGGATCAATAGAAACTGACTGGTGATCCTGAATTAAATGAAAGATGACATTCTTTTCAATGGCTAAATGTGCATTGTTTAATTTACGCTGAATCTATATAGACCAAACATTTTAAATCTTTAAAACAAGGTAATATAACATAGAGGTTCTGATGCCTATGAATATTTTCATAATACATGCATTTCTTTTCCCCAAAGGCTAGATAATTTGAAGGTTTAAAAATACATGAAGCTCATCAAGCTAAGTGGGTAAAAATATAAGCTTTTAAACCCACTAGTTCTAACCATTTATCTAATACTGGAAATAATTTTCAGTCTTTCTACTATGCAACTCTATTTTGAGATACAAGTGTTTTTGTTTCTTCTCCCTGTTTTTCTTTTTCCTTTTCCCCCATTAAAACAGGTGCCCATTGTAGGGGGAGGTAAGGAGAGGGAGGGTTGAAATCAGAAGCAGGTTGCAAAGACTTCTCTGCATATGTTTCTAAAAACTTAAGGCCGTAGGAGAAATTAAAGGGTTTTTGGAGGAGGCAAAAATGGAGACAAGAAGTCCTCTGCAGAGGCAGAGACTCGATGAAGGAGGGAATAACAGTGAGATTTCCCAAACGGGGGTTGAGGTGGGGAGAGTTTCCCTTGAACTGGAATAAAAAAGGAGAGAGAATAATTTTCAGAGATGAATGATTTCGAGGCATGTCTATGAAAATGGGGACCTAAGCTGTTTCCTAAAGATTCTCATGACCCACTATGGCACTTATGGTTTGTTTAGTTGCAAGGAACACAAGGCCCAGTTCAAACTGGCTAACACAATAAAAGGGATTCATTGTTTACTTTAATAAAAAATTCTGAAGGAGTGCCTCAGCAATGGTTTGATTCACAGCCTCAAAATATCGCCAAGACTGTTCCTGACCTTATTTTTCTACTTGGCCTTCTAAAATGCTACTTCCTTCTAAAGCTGCAATCCTCTTATGGTCGTAACAGGGCCCCAACCTATCTGTGTTGTAGGCTTCCCCACTTCCTGTCCATGGAAGAGGATGGGTTTCTGTCTCAGAATTCTAAATAAGAGTCATGCAATTCACTCTGATTGGGCTGAATTAGGTTGTCTATCCACTGCTGATAAAGGCCAAGGGAGCAGAATATGTTAATTGTCCTAAATCAATAAGGATCCATCCCTGGAGTTCAGAGTCACCTTAGCTTCCATCAAACAAAGCACATGGATCATGTGGGTGAACGTAAGCATCTGAACTAAAATCTGGGCGCAGTTAGCAAAGTGGAAGGGGTAAAAAGAATTAAATGGATAGAGAACAAACACGACACTGGAAAGTTATAGCAGATATTCACAGACTGGAAGGGACACTCAGAGAAGGGCCATGCATGTGGCGGAAGTTACTTGTAAGGAAAAATAACCCAACAATGTATAGACTGCCTTGTCATGATGCAAGGATACAGGACTGTGAGATAATTCTGGAGATGGATGAAGTAGTTGGGAAGAAAAGCACTGCGAATGACTGTGAGCCTGACAGTTGAATTACATCAGTTAGTGTTCATTCAATTGCAAGTAATAAAATCCCTAGCTGTTTCTCAAGAGCTAGTATTTAGTGACCCAGGTATGATCGCTGGGCCCTATGCTGTAGTGCCCCTTGGGTCTTTGTATCCTACTAGTTTCAGGATCCAGTACCTCCATCATGATCCTGAACTCTCAGGGCACCCCGGAGGAGTTAGAGTTTTTCTCACCCAAACCTCCTTCACCAGCCACACCTTCTTTATATAAGTCATGGAAACAGACCTACTCTGCCTAGAAAATTCAATTTGGGAATAAGAGTTTTATCATTTCAGTGCAAATCTTTTCATTGTAAATTTTGTCTAAAAGCTGTTAGTTTTAGAAGTACAATTATACTAGCATTCGACATGCTTGCAATAATCAAGGGCCATGTCAAAGAAAGATGTGGGTAATCGNTATATATATATATATATATATATATATATATATATATATATATGAAATCAAAATCCTAATATCTGCAAGGGAACAGAATGAACATTCCAATGCAAATAAAGGAGGAATATATTCTACTCCTGTTCTTGATGTTTTTAGCTCTGGAGGCGTGGCTGATGCCCCATGATTTCTTAGAGTAGTGACAAAGAAGCTGGTAGAAGTATGATCTCAGGATGGCTTGTTTTGGCTATAGGAGGTTGTACTTGTTAAAGATTCATAGAATTTAAAAAATTTATTTTTATTTCAAGCATTTTGTTTTAGGTTGAAGTTGTGTCCAAATCACATATGAAACACACTGTGGAAGTAGTTAATTATCATTTAAAAAATATGTCAATATAATTAATAATTTTATTTTTGATTGCACTAAAGAGTATATGTTTTATTAGTATATATCATAATCAGAAAGTTCCTACCAGAGCAAGAAATGATATGTAGTGTATATTTTTTGTCCCAATATTAGGTTCCTACGTTGACTCTGAGTAAGTTCTTGTACCTCTGTGATACTCTAGTTTCCTCATATATCAAAATCACATTATAGGGTTGAATTACCTGTCAACTTTCTCCAGCTCCAATATTTTCTGATTCTATGATATGAATTTCCTACTTTATTAGATACCCATTTTTTTTTTCTTCCTTCATGTATTTTTTACTAGGTGCCTACACTCTGCTAGATGCTTGGAATTCAGCAATGAATAATACTGCCCTCAAGGAAGTCTAGTTTAACAGAAGGATGGGATGGGGTGACTGACAGAAAAAAGGCAGTCATGATATAGTGTGATATGTGCCTACATGTTATAGGAAGAGTTCTGACCCAATCAAAAAGTAAGCAGAAAGAGTCTTCCTCAGGAAGAAGGAACAAACAGATTCCTTTGGCAATTATAGCTTCACAAAAACTATACAGTTCATTTCTTTGGACTCTTTTCATAGTCCCAAAGAAAAGATGTTATTTTAATGTGGGTTGAAAAGTGCTACTTCTGAAAGCTTGAGGAGCTATGGGGACTCTGAGGACAAGTACACCAGTGGCCAGCATCTTATTTTAGGCCTCGCCAAAGCTCAGAAGTACATTCATATTTAAAGCTTAGCTTCTTATCTTTTGAACACCCATCAGGGCACACACACACAGTGTCCTTGAACCTTGTCAGTTCCCAGTCACCAGTGAAATAGGCTCTGCTCCTGGAATCAAATATTTTATGGCATCTGTTGAGATTATAAAAATAGAGTTGTATCACATGTAGTCTTGTCCCAAAATACCTCCTTTGTTAGGTGTGTGTGTGTGTGTGCGCGTGTGTGTGTGTGCACACACACATGCGTGTTTGTGTGTGCAAAGTAACACAATTAATGTGAGACTGCTACTGTTTTTAAGTCTGTACCACACTGCCCCTGATGCTTCAGCAAGGGAACACTTGCTAATTCCATACTTCCACTTTTCTGAAGGTACCTGAAGCACAACTAGCAGTGGGTAGTTATCACAGCACTTATCTATACTAGCAAAGGGATGAAGGACGATGGCCATTTTAACTAGCAATTCCCATCTCAGGGGGAAACATCAAATGGCTTTTATTTGTTTGGGTAATTGAGGTCAACATAAATCTGCTCTATTTTTCCTCAAAGCATTTATTGCCACCTAAAATGCTATTCAGTTAACTTATTTAGTTTCTTTAATATAGCCTCCATTAGACTATAAGCTCTTTGAGGGTAAGGATTTTATTTGTTTTGTTTACTTCTATGCCCTGAGGCTAAAATAAAACATAACACATGGTAGGCGATCAGTAAATATGTACTGATTGACTGACTGAATGAATGTTGTTAAACCAGCAGAGGCTCAACCAGCATCTGACCCCACCTCTAGGTGGACTCTGGTAGGATGGGAAACGTGCCCTGTAGATGGCTGCATGATTGTGACGGGGAAGGCAACTAGGACAGTCTATTATTTTTTTCACTTTAATTAAATGTATGCATTCTTTTTTGAAGGACAATAACATTGGGGCTGTTAATATTATTTTGAGCAGCTACCAAGGAGGTAAACTCATAAGTTCTAGAAAAGGACCCATAAGTCTTCATGCCAGAGGACTTTCAAGTGGCTGACAGAGGAAAAAGGCACTGAAGACTTAAGGGAGGTGTCAGGAAAGGCTTGTAGAAGACAATACCTAAGCTCCCACGTGAAGTTTGAGTAAGCATAGTTAGGCAAAGGGGGTGGAGCCTGGAGGAAAGCATTCACAGAAAAGAAGAGGTGAGAAAAAGAGAACTCTGAGTTTCGGAAATTCCAAGTCATACCATATGGCTGGAGTCTAGATGCAAGAAATGAATGGTAAGGGATAAACTGGAGGCCTAAGTGAGAGGTAGAACATATAAGACCTTCTGTGCTTGAAGCCAAGATTGGATTTTACCTAAATGTCGGTAAGGATTAATGAGTCACAGTCATGATGTATCTTAAGAAAAATCATGCCTGCTACAGCCTGGATAATGGAGGAGACTTAAGACAGAGACAAAATGACTAGTTAGGAGGCTGCTGTAATCCTGGTGAGAAATGACAGTGGCCTGAAGTAGGTAGTGTTTCTGGGGGAAAATAGGTGGATTTGAGAGAGATTAAAGAGGTGGAATTGACTCAGTGACTGAATAGGTGTGAATAGTAAATGATACTTCTGGTTAAACAAATGGTGATGCCAAGGCAAGCATATTAGAGGAGGGAGAATGCTCTAGAGATATACAGCTGCATCATTTTTCTCTATCTCTCGCTTTTTAATACACTGGGTAAGTTACTTAACTGTCTAGCCTCAGATTCTTCATCTGTATAAGGGTTTTAATAACATCTACCACACAGGTTTATAGCAAGAAACAGGACATGGACAGATGCAATCAAAATAGCTGGGACTGAATGCTGGCCCCACCAATTAATAGAAATGTGATTTTAAATCTAAGTTACTTAACTACACAATCTTTAGTGCTTCTATCTTCCAAATGAGAGGAACAAATCTAAATGCTCTTAGTTATGGAGTGTATATAAAATAATGGAGGCCTCAATAGTACATCTCAAATATTTAGGAGCTATTATTACTATAATCATCACATCTGTATTAAAAGGAAGTGGCATTTTAGAAATATTCATTTAGTGGACCATTTTTTTAAAGACATGAAGGCTCTGGTTTGGTAATCTTGGGAAAGACAACGAGCAAAATTTTAGCAGTGAGCTCATGAGGCAAAGGAATGAACAGAAGACAATTGGCTAGAACTGAGGTTTTCAGCCACCATGTGGCAGGAAACTGGGTCAGGAACTTTGTAGTTGGCTGAAAGTTACTTTGCATTTATGGACGCAGCAGAGACTCTGGAGGGCTCTATGTATCAAGGGACATGGGCCACAGCACTTGTTAAAACTTCGTGTGCCTCCACTCAAGCCCAATAACACAATAGATTAAAAAAATGCTGGGAGCGAAAAGGCCTATTACACTTACTACACTAATCTGAAGCAGAGGGTAGAAATGTTTCACTGCATTTTTCTTTTGGAATTTCTACTAAGGATTCTGGTCTGCCCAAGGGAACCTCATGCCGATAGTAGAGCTGAAGGGAGGGGGCACGGCAGAAATAAAAACAGTACAAAATATTCAATATTCTCATTCTAACCAGACCGTGGTCGCAGGGCATGCAAAGGGGGGATCGTGATGAGAATCACAGATTTTCCAGTACGAAGTATGTTTTTGGCTGCAATTGTGTATGCTGTGGCAACTCACCAGACAGCCAGGAAAATCTGTGGTGGTTTGGAGTCCGGCAATCCATTGGTGGCTTATAAATGTTCAGAAGGCTCAACTTTCTCTTGAGGTTTTAAAACTATGCAGCTTTGACATGCTTCATATGAAACTGCCTAAGCATGGTTATTTAATCTCCATTTGTAGACTTTTTAAGAACTCACAACTGTACTTCAAACCATTAAAAAAAATAGCCCCACATATTCACAACGAAGCTGAGTTTTCTGCGAATGAGGTTTCACGTATTCACAACGAAGCTGAGTTTTCTGCGAATGAGGTTTCAGCAGTGTCGGAGGGCATACTTTTTTTGAGATGACATGACCAAATTTTGTGTGTGAGTGCATGTGTGTGTGTCCATGTTTGTGTGTATATGCAAAAGAGAGAGAGAGAGAGAGAGAGAGAGAGAGAGAGAGAGAGAGAGAGAGACTTGAGAGATCCAGAAAGAGAATGTTTAAAATGCTGTCTCTACATCTTGTATTCATTATTACAGTAGATGTTTTATAGCTCAAGCAAGTTTGGGAAGCACCAATTTGTTCTCAAGGTTATTATCAACAGATGTTTTATTATTTTGATTACACAAGACAAGTCAGTTAAAAGACCTGCTGTATGTGGGGCACCCAACACAAGATAATCTTAGAGAATGAAAGAATGTTTCCACCATATGGTTCAGTCTGCATGTGGCTATAAAGTGTGCATTATAGATGGGAACGGGGTTAATATTCAATTTCCTTTCTCAGGATTCCAGGAATGATACACAGCCTTCTAAGACTAATTCATTAATTCAATAACCCTGAGATTTAAAAGGTAACTGATTTCACAGTCAGCGCTGCATTTATTTAATGTCATTAGTCTTCCTTCCCCACTGAGCAAAAATGCAGACTCTATGTTCAAGTTGAGAAGCATCCCTTTGGAAACCAGAGTCAAGAATCCTCACATCAGCTGTTCAAATGCCAAGCTTTCCAAAGGAAAAATCACCATGCTATGTGAAACAACAGTCAGTCGTGGTAATGAATGGAAAGACAGACACTGAAATGATAACACAAGTGGTTCTTTGTGAAGTTTTAGATTTGAACCAGTATCAGTTCAGATTTCTGCTCTACACCTTTTTAGCTGAGTGACCTTGGAGAAGTTACTTTATCACCGAATGCCTATTTGCAAGTAGCATGATCATAATTACTTTAGAGAATTGCTGCAGATAAGATTACATAAGGGAATACAATAAACAAATTTAATCACAAAGTTCGGATTTCCAGAATATTTTTCCGAATACCTAAAAGAAAAAAAAAATCCCTTTCAGAAGAATAGCCAAGTCTGAATGATGCATAGGTTGTCCAGGCAGAGCAGTGTGCTGCATTTCAAGTTCATTCTCAAGTGCTGGCTAAGGATTTGGTCAGTTCACCTGAGAGCATCCTTGTTGGCAATGACAATGTGATAGACTGCTCTGAAAAGCATGGTTGTGATTTCTGTCAAAACAACCCACGTTGAAGACAGTCTGTCCCTAAAGTACCATGCTTGAAGAGAAGGTGGTTAAATAACATTGACATGAGTTTAATTTTGAAGCAGTAATAAACTGCCTTCCTACAATATTTTGTCACGTGCATACTTTATAATTGAGCGAAGACACTGAAAACATACAAGGGACTAAGAAACATGCACTTTAATAACTGGGCAACGTAAAAGCTTGAGTTTTCATTTTACCACAGAAAAGTGAGTATGAAAGAGTATTTTTCTTTTTTTCAGGCTTATGTCATGGAATATAATAGCTATATAGAACAAGAAGATGGCAAGCCTGGTTGATATGCTATGAAAGTAGATCTCCCGGAGGT